CCAGTGAGTTGGGGGCCCACCCCATCTCCAGCCGGCACTCGGTGAGCTTTGCTTCCCTTGGGGCCTACAGCTTCTCCCATGTAGGAAGGTAACCTCCAAAGACAACTTGCCATGGCTCCCAAGGTCCCGGGCCAGCGTGCTCTCCCCGACCCTGCTGGAACATCTGGTATCCCAAAGCTAAAATGCTGATGTTCCGTTGTCTGTTTATTCCCCACTGATAGGGCTGCTGGAATTGTTGGGATAGAGAATCTCGACCCCGTGGCGCACTGAGAAGGGTCCTGCTTTGTTCACCGTCTCTAGGGAACTTAATAGGCTGGGCAGCCTCTTCTTTTTCCCCTTGCTGGCCATCCCCTAAAGCTCCCCCAGCCCCGAATCCTACTACATTGTCTGAATTGCAATAAATACTTCTTCAAAGACTGGAGGAAGAAGGCTCCCAGATAAACAGGCAGACACAGGAAAGCTGACGTGGATGAAATCTGAGTGAAAAATGGTTTTGTTGGGGCGCCTGGGTGGCTCAGCGGGTTAAGCCTCTGCCTTCGGCTCAGGTCATGATCTCAGGGTCCTGGGATCGAGCCCCGCATCGGGCTCTCTGCTCAGCAGGGAGCCTGCTTCCCCCTCTCTCTCTGCCTGCTTGTGATCTCTCTCTGTGTCAAATAAATAAATAAATAATCTAAAAAAAAAGAAAGAAAGAAAGAAAGAATAAATAAAAAAACAAAAATGGTTTTGCAGCATGAGTCTGACCCGTGTTATCGGATATACCCACGCGCACAGGCAGTGCCGTTAGGAGAATGAAAATATGAAGAAAAACACTTGTGAACATGTGATTCCAGACTTACAAGAACCTAAGGAGTGTGCTTGATTCCTAATCGTGAAAACACAAGTTTTTATTGAGAGAGCCTTTAAGTAGCTATCTTTGTGTACTGCTTTCTAACATAAACTGCTCGAGCTTTTCTCCAAAGCACTAAGAGGTATATTGATTGGCTTCTCTGATAATATCAAAGATATATAAACAGGGAAACATCAGTCTTTAGTGTTTGCTTTTGTATGGCTGTTCCACAGTCTTTTAATAAAAAAAGAATGATGCCCTTCGGCTCAGGATTTGCCAACAACAGCAGCGGGATGTGGCCACAGCCGTTCAATGGCTTGAGGAGCTTCCAGGAAAACAAGCAGCAGTTTCAGAAATAATAGGTTGAGCGGCCGTAAGTCACACTAGTATCCTTTGCCGTTAATCCACAAATCTGGCTATGCTGCTCGCTCACAGACGTCCCTGAGGTTGGCTATCCATCCCTTTAGAGGCACAGACATTTAAAACCTATAACCTGAAATTAAAGCAATATCCTGGCCACCAACTGCAAATCACTGAAAAGGCTAGAAGGAACTTCAGATACAATTCTTCTGCAAATTAAACTCAAGACAATTATCAATACATATTCTTGGACAGATCTCAACAGAGGTTTGTTAAGTAAGTTATTTAATTTTAATCTTGTCCCTCTCTAAAAATAACCTGAGTAAATCCATTCATCTCTTGGGAAGATTAGACCATTTAAAGGGTCTCCTAAATTCAGTTATTCTCTTTTTGTGCCAAGAATATTAAGAAACGAAAATACCATTAACAAAAATTAGAAAATTGAAAACCATATTTAGGATGAGCCAAATATGAGTTAGGTCACTAGCTTTCCAGATTTTTCCTGAAAATCCGAGGCTAGAATTCCATCCCCCCCACTCCAAAAGAAGGAACCTTTGGTAACACAGTAAGCCTGAGGCAGTAAGTAGCAGTCTTCCATAAAGGAGATTCTAGCTCATGTTGTATCTGAAATCTGCATCATGAGATCCAGTGATTCCATACTCTGGCATACAACTACCCCCACGTGTCTGCCATCTCTCCAGTTACATTTTCATCTCCGTGCTGAGAATAACGTCTAGCAGACAAGTCCTCAAAAATATTTGTTGACGTATTCTTTACAAGTACCTGTTTATTAGAAGACACCAGCTGAGAACTCTCTAACCGGCTTCTTTCTTTTTCTGTAGTTGTGTATACTAAGGAAACAGATCAGTGGCTTCTCTTGTCTGTCTGCAGCTGATTAAATGCCCAGCCAATCTTTGTTACGTTATGTCTCCCAAAGGGCATCTCAGTTTGATTCAGTTGGCTCTTTAGCTCTTCATTTATAGATTTGAGCTATCGAGAGGAAGTTCTAATAACACTTATGTCAAGGTAATATATAGTTTCCTGTTGCTCTCTTAAGAACAAATAGCGTTAAAAAAATAGGTGCATGACTTTAGATCTTTAATAGTGACCTAAGGGATTTTATAAGGCATTGCTGTGTTGCATTTATATTTTATATTTTGCACTTATTTAAAATTTTCTCTCATTTGCTATAGTGACACCGTTCTTAAATTACCTGTTATGGTAATAATAAAGCTACTTCACTTGTGGGTTACATTTCTTAACTCTGCAACATGCATTAGTTCATTTTGCTCCTTGCCACAGGCAGGGAAAGTTTATTATACGTATTTTATAGGCATGAAAACAGAGGTACAGAGTGGTAAAGTGACATCCCTCTGGGTCAGAGAGGTAGTTAATAGCAAAGCTAGAGCCAGAAACTCCATATTTGGCTTTCTGGCCCTGTTCCTATCCATTCTGTCACTGTTGACAAATTCTACTGCAGACCCATGCCCGGCTGTGAGCACGTGGTCAGTGTGGCAGCTGCAAACAACCCAGAGGTCAGGGTTCCACTGTGCAGGACACATACTCCTGTACAGGGATGAAATCTCTAAGAATTTGGCAAAAAAAATTAGTAACTATTTGGTGAGGGTGGCGTAATAGGGAACTTCATACATGGTGGCAGAAGAACAGAGGAGCTTCTACCAAGAAAGTTTTCGGGGGATTGCTGGAGAAGGATAACAATGTAAATGAAGTTACCCTTCTCTGAAATTCACATGCTGCAAACTTTCCTGAAGGCAAACAAAACAAGTGTGGCAAGGTACTTGTAGGGAGCTGTTTACTGCTCAGCTGCTTATAAATGCCAAGGGTGAGGTGGGGGGGTGGAGGCAAAGACCATCAATGAGAATAATGAGACTCCCTAAAAAAACATGCCGCATCCGTGTGTCACAGTAAGAAACAGACCCTGGAGAACAACGACTGGCTTTCAGTATCTGTCTATGCCCAGAGTGTTCTGGTCTCTGCATGTCAGCATATCACAGGCTGGCAAGGTGGGTTAAATCCTAAAGGATTTTACATACATGTACCTGTATCTTAGTCTTATCATTTATAATACAAGAATACTATTAACCCCTAACTTACAGGATTAAGGTAAAGACAAAATAAGATAATACGTATTAGGCATTTAGCCCAGCACATGTTATATGAGATACTCAATGACTATTAGCTCCAATATGACTAATGCTATTATTGTAATTATTATCATAAATCATGGGCCAGTAAAATGATTTTAATTATTAGTCCTAATAGTATATGACCTATAATAAGATGAGATAGAGACTTGTAGTGGTAGGGAATGATGTCCAATCTATGATAAATGATAAGAGCATATTCCCAATGCAGTCAGAATACGGCCCATGCATTGCTGAAGGCACAGACAGCATGTCCATCTACAGTATTTTTTTTCTTAAATGAGGGTTACCCCATAAGCAACTGTAAGTATAGAATGAGGGAGTGTAATAGCCAGTACTGTTTTTCTCTAGCAGAATAATAAGCTGAAGGTATTCGATAAGGAAAGGGTGAAGGTCTAGGCAGGGAGAGATGAAGCCCTTGAATAGTCCCCCACAGGGGACTACCTGGCCAGGCTCACAGACATCCCAGGGGTGGAGAAACGTTATAGACAAGACATTAACCAGGGAGAAGGGAACATAACAATTCACCTTGTCTGTCCTAAGTATAGAGGAGATATTTACACGGTACTTACAAATTCACCTGTTTTGTCTTAAATGTTAGAGATGGGATATTTACAAAGTTCCCTGGTCATTTAGAGTTTGACCCTAAAGGCCTGCAGCGCAGCGCATTCCGGACCCCTCTCACCCCAGAGAGCTTTTTTCTTTCCTTTCTGTTCTCACCTTCCCTTAATAAACCTGCACTTCGTTTCACCATTTTGTGTCTGCGAGATTCATTCCTCGCCTTCATGAGACGAGAACCCTGCAGCCCTCTCACAGTTTCAGGGGCAAGATCCCTCACAAACAAAAAGCAAGCCTGAGCATCGTACGAGTAAACCAAAAAAAGAAAAAGGTGAAACACTGCAGCATGACCTCCATTAAAGAAAGCGGTTTCCCGCTCAGGAGTGGCGGGCATCGGCGCGAGCCCCTAACACAGAAGGAAAAGCTGCGAAGACCTTTCCCTCCATGCTGACAAGCTTGACGCTTGACGAGTAAGGCTTCTCCCAGATCATGTTTTCAGTTTGTATCGCGTGGGTCTCATGGAAGTGACAAAAGTGTCCTGAAGGCCCAGCTTCAGGGAGCAGGTAAATGCATCTTGGGTAGAGACTGCAGGGCAGACCATGACTCCCCTCGCAAGCGCAGGGCAGGGATTCATGTGCTGATTTTTATACCAAGGCTGCGACTGTACTTTTCAGGACTCAACACTGAGAGCCACAGATACGCGGTCAGCTACCCCAGCACAATCACCCCCAACCTCTGCTGCTTTCAACACGTGGCCTTCCAGTCTGCAAGCGGTTTTTCAGGACTCATGGTGTTACTCTAGACGGCACTTGTACTTCCAAAAACACTGCAAAGGCAAGGTCAGAGGGAAGTAGGAGAGGCGAAGAAGGAGGGCTTGTTAAGAAACCACCGTTTCTGCTTTCTGCTCTTCTGTATATTGTAACTTTTTTTAATCACATGAGGGAAAAAAGTCAAAACAGATGAAATGCAATCCTGAATTAGTTCGCATGTGAAATCAGACTTGGACATCACTAGCTCAGCAAGAATCCACGCAGGCTGGCCCAGCTGTCTGCACGTGCTAGTGGAAAAGACACACTTCAGCCCATACTTACACGTACAAGACCGTCCTGGTATCGCCCACTTTGCCAGCATCGCCCACTGTAAGCGTGTCATAGCCTCGTTCTAGTTCAAACTCCTCAAAGGCAAGCTTGATGACCTGAATAAAGCAAAGATCCTTATTTAGCATCACAGGAACTTTCCATGACTTTAAATATGCAAATACCTAGTTGTAGTATAACCATGGACAATTGTATATTCTCTACTGCTACATTTGAGGACCCTCAGTTACAGAATTTTTTTTTAAAGATTTTTTTTATTTATTTGACAGACAGAGATCACAAGTAGGCAGAGAGGCAGGCAGAGAGAGAGAGGAGGAGGAAGCAGGCTCCCTGCAGAGCAGAGAGCCCGATGTGGGGCTCGATCCCAGGACCCCGGGATCATGACCCGAGCCGAAGGCAGAGGCTTTAACCCACTGTGCCA